GATTCTTTCTCAAAAAAGGATTCATACCATTACTGAATTATACACAAAATCTATATTATACACAAATTTAATTAAAGATACCTATAGTTATAGTATATTGGCTTGCTTAATGAAAATTGCATCCTTTTTTTTGGTGTACGTCTTTGGTCAGTAAAAAGAGAATATTTTTATTTTTAGTTTAAATCTTAAAATAATTGGCTTTGATTAATTAAAGAATGAAATTCAACTTACATAAAATCTTGGACTACTACTTCCATTAAATATGTTTCCATTTTAAATTTAATTTTTTTATGTTGTCTTTAAATTGCCAAATGGCTTCATTTTAGCTTGCCACTTGGCTTAACCACATGCTTCACTATTCTCCTTTTAATATAATATAGATAGATATAGATAGATTGAGTAAGATCTTATTTTGCTGCTTGAATTTATTTAATTTTTATACTCAATAAATTTTTAATATCATAAATAAATTTTAATTTTATTTTATATTTTAACATACTCCAAAATATAAATAGTCATAGATTATCTCAATTTACGTATTTCTGTATTTTTTATTTTTTTCTATTATAATTTTTTAATGTTTAATTAATTTTTCACTTCCATATTTCTAGCTAATATAGAAGAAAATCTATGAGTGGATCAATATATAGATATAAATATAGATACAAATATACATATAATTATAGATATATAGATTAGATTTGTCTAAGATATATTTAGATTATATATAAGATTTATTAAACTACTTCCATTAATTATATTTCCATTTATAATTTCTAATAATTAATGTTGTCTTAAAATTGCCAAGTGGCTTCATTTTAGCTTGCCACTTGGCTTAACCACATGCATCACTACTCTCCTTTTAATATAATATAGATAGATTATTTCTTAAAAAAGGATGCCTACCATAACTGAGTTATACACAAAATTTAATTAAAGATACGTATAGTAATGTATATGATACCTATAGTAATGAATATTGTTCACAAATAAGGTTAGATACAAAGCTTGTACTAAAAAAATTATTATTTCAACTTAAAATAAATGTGTAAGATACAAAACGAAATTAACAAAATTTTAGTTAATTCTTTCTTAACGAAATTTTAATTAATTCTTTCTCAAAAAAAGATACTTACCATAACTGAATTATACACAAAATTTAATTAAATATACCTATAGTAATGTATATTGTCACAAATAAGGTCAAATACAAAACTTGTACTAAATAAAGAATTATTATTTTAACTTAAAATTAATGTGTAAGATACAATGATTCTTTCTCAAAAAAGGATTCATACCATTACTGAATTATACACAAAATCTATATTATACACAAATTTAATTAAAGATACCTATAGTTATAGTATATTGGCTTGCTTAATAAAATTGCATCCTTTTTTTTGGTGTACGTTTTTGGTCATTAAAAAGAGAACATTTGTATTTTTAGTTTAATTCTTAAAATAATTGGCTTTGATTAATTAAAGAATGAAATTCAACTTACATAAAATCTTGGACTACTATTTTCATTAAATATGTGTGATGACCCAAAAGGTCATCACTTGCTTTAAATTAAATTTTGTGTTATGAGGCCTTGAAAATCTCATTTAGAGTTACCTCGATTTGCATGCGCATCCGGGCGTGTAGCCGGAAAGCTTAAATATGAAATTATGTGGAAAATGATAAAATTTGGTTATAAAATGAGTTAATTTGATTTCGGTGAAAGTTTTGGGTAAACGGATACGGACCCGTAATTTGACGGTCCCGGAGGGTCCGTAGGAAAATATGGGACTTGGGCGTATGCCCGGAATCGAATTCCGAGGTCCCAAGCCCGAGAAATGAATTTTTAAAAGAAATTATTTTCTGAAACTGTTTAAGGAAAATTGAAATGAAATTTGCTTAGAACATGATGGTACCAGGCCCGTATTTTGGTTCCGGCACCCGGTACATGTCTTATATATGATTTTAAGACGTTTCTATGAAATTTGGTGAAAAACGAAGTTTATTTGACGTGCATTCGACTTCCGGTTGAGGAGTTATGAACTTTGAGAGTTCTTGATGAAAATGTTAAGTTTTGAGGTTTAATTCATCATTTTACATGTTATTTTGATGATATTATCGCACGAGTAGGTCCATATGATATTTTTGAGTTAGTATGCACACTTGGTTTGGAGTTCCGAGGGCTCGGGTGAGTTTCGGGTAGGTTTCGGGATGTTTTAGGCTTAAAACCAGAAGTTGCAGGTCTCTGAACCCACCAGTTCGGTCCGCGGTCGACCTTGTGCGGTGCGCGGTGGAGGCTGTGCGGTCGCAGTCGACTTTGTGCGGTCCGCACAGGGAACTGGACCGCAGTAACCTCAGGAAAGCCTGTGCGGCCGCAGTCCATTTGTGCGATCCGCACATGGGGTTTGAGAGGGGTATAAATAGACGGAATTTTCAGTCATTATTCATTTTTCAAAACCCCAAAAATATAAGAGGCGATTTTTCAAACAACCTTTCTTCTCCAAATCAATTGTAAGTCATTTTTAATTAGTTTTCTTCAATTATTAACATCTTTTAACATGATTTCAACTTCAAATCAATGATTTTCATGTGGGAAATTGGGTGTTTTGGGTAGAACCTAGGTTTTTCAAATTGGGGATTTGGACCTCGATTTGAGGTCCGATTTCAAAACAAATTATATATTTAAGTTCGTGGGAGAATGGGTAATCAGGTTTTGACCACGTGGGCCCGGGGGCGATTTTGATTTTTGGGTAAAACTTTGAAAACTCATTTTCATGCATTCAAATTGATTCATTTAGCGTTTATTGATGTAATTAAGTAACTTGTGGCTAGATACGAGCGAATTGACGGTGGAATCAAGGGGTAAAGCTATAATTGAAACTTGAGTTGTGTTCGAGGCATCGAGGTAAGTGTCCGGTCTAACCTTAGCTTGAGGGATTAGGAGTTGAGTTCTATTTGCTATTTGCTTCTTGTTGAGTACGACGTATAGGCATGATGACGAGTATCTATACGTTGGTGTCAAACATGACCGTGAGTCTTAAATTGATACTTGTTGTATTTTTGAATGTTACTATGATTGAAATTGTAAGTAAATCCTTGATATTGAGCAAAGACTTAGTTTGTTTATTGTGGAATCTACTTATGATTGAGAAATGGTGGTATTTGAGATGAGTAGGAGTTGAGTTAAGATTGGTTATAGCTGATTCTCCCTTTCCATGACGTATATACTTGTACTGCTGAGTTCCCTTGCCGAGATAGTGTAGTCTATTGTTGATCCCTTGCCTGGACGGTTAATTATGATTATTGTTGACTGTATAGTTGGAACGGGTTGCACGCCGCAACAGATATTATATTGGATCGGGTTACACGCCGCAACAAATATTATATTGGATCGGGTTGCACGCCGCAGCAGATATTATATTGGATCGGGTTGCACGCCGCAATAATGTTAAATGATAAGGGATCGGGTTGCGCGCCGCAGCAGTATTGTTATTGTATCGTTGTAGATATTGAGTTGTCCTTTTATATTTTATTAAGTTTTTGTCGGTCTTGATATGTTTCCCCGAAGCATGCACCCCCTCCCATTTTAAACTGCTTATTCCTGTTTATTTTCCGCCATAATTATATAACTGCACAGGTTTATCTGGAGTCTGGTCCTAGCCTCGTCACTACCTCACCGGGGTTAGGCCAGGCACTTACCAGCACATGGGGTCGGTTGTGCTGATACTACACTCTGCACGCTATGTAGATACCGGAGCGGCACTTGATCAGCAACAGTAGGGGAGCCAGCCTTCAGTCCACCAAGACACCGAGGTAGCCTTGCAGGCATCCGCAGGCCCGGCGTCTCCCCTATCTTTTATTACGTTCTGTTATCTCATGTATCCGAGACAAACAGTGTCAATTTTCCTTCAGACTGTTGTATGTAGTACTCTTAGTAGTCCGTGGATATTCATCTAAGTCTTCCGTTTAATTTCATCTTCCGCTATCATTTAAATGTTTATCGCCTGTTAATGTAAACTGTTAAAAAGGCTTAAAATAAAGTAGTTAAAGATTTCTAAATTTTTCTGGCTTGCCTAGCTTCTGCGAGTAGGCGCCATCCTGACTCCCAAGGGTCAGAAAATCCGGGTCATGACAATATGTTTCCATTTATAATTCAATTTTTTTATGTTGTCTTTAAATTGCCAAATGGTTTCATTTTAGTTTGTCACTTGGCTTAACCATATGCTTCACTATTCTCCTTTTAATATAATATAAATAGATATAGATAGATTGAGTAAGATCTTATTTTGCTGCTTGAATTTATTTAATTTTTATACTCAATAAATTTTTAATATCATAAATAAATTTTAATTTTATTTTATATTTTAACATACTCCAAAATATAAATAGTCATAGATTATCTCAATTTACGTATTTCTGTTTTTTATTTTTATTTTTTTCTATTATAGATTTTTAATGTTTAATTAATTTTTCACTTCCATATTTCTAGCTAATATAGAAGAAAATCTATGAGTGGATCAATATATAGATATAAATATAGATATACATATAGATACAAATATACATATAAATACGGATATATAAATTAGATTTATCTAAGATCTATTTAGATTATGTATAAGATTCATTAAACTACTTTCATTAATTATATTTCCATCTATAATTTCTAATAATTAATGTTGTCTTAAAATTGCCAAATAACTTCATTTTAGCTTGTCATTTGGCTTAACCACATGCATTACTCTCCTTTTAATATAATATAGATAGATAGCCTAGAATTGTACGAACTAACAATGAAAAGGAAAACATGAACTAACGATGAAACTTCCATTTTTAAACAAAGAGTACTATTTGTCTTTTCTTCTCTTTTTAAAATTTCAAACTGGTAAACTAACTTAAAACATGACTAATACACGACGAAAAAAAAATATATAAAATAAAAAAAGGAATGAATGAGCAAGAATATATAAGAATTACAAGAGAGAGAGAATCGCAAGAAAGTATATCTACAATATCTGTTTATATTATATATACCCCATTATCATATTATTTTGCTCAAAAGTAATACATGATCAATAAACACTAGCAAGTGAATACACACAAAACCAATAAGCAAAGTTAAAAAACTCATTTTCTATTTTGCTCACCCCACCTATCTTTTAATTTAATTTTTATAATTTTTTATCAACCCCACCACTGGTGCACAGCAATACCCTCATCTCTCAATAATCCATACAACGCTAAGCATTCCCAATATGCTCTCCTATTTTTTTTATCACCTTTTTTTATTCCTTGATGTTTACATTCCAAGAATAGTTCATCAACTAACTTAATAGCTTTGTTTTTCACCAATTCCTCAACCACATCAGCTTCTGCCTTCATTACCACATACTCATTTTCTTTTACATTATTTTTTAACCAATCAGACATGCTAATAATCAATGGTATCTCCTTTTCGGATGATTGTTCAGTCACAGTCTCAATCTTGAATATCTCAAATTTTGTGTTTTTTGTAGGATAATATTTTGAAAACCACTCTGACCCTTCATTCTTGTCTTGTAAACTAACATCAATGAAGACTCTTCTTGGGTAACTTTCAAGGGAAACACCCATTAAATCTGGTAAATAACGAGTTTTTTTTAGATATCTACTTGATTTTCCTGATGCTGCTCTTGGTGGTTCAAGTAGTACATCTTCGAGTTTCTTTAGTGCTGCTTCCTTTGCATTTGTTTTCTTCGCTTTAGGCCTCTGATGTTCTAAATCAACTGGTCTGATCAATTTGAATTCGTGCAGGCTTGTCCGACTAAGGGAAGTAAAGTATTTCTTACCAAAAATCTTTTCTTTCTCAGGGTTCGGACCCGAGACCTCTCTTGCATTTGTTGTCAGAGTACTACAAAGTCGTCGTTTGCTAGAAGAGCCGATAGAGGCATTCTTTGTTTTCCTCATGGCTACAATAGTTGAATCAAATTTTCGTACATAGACAATCTTGTAATTTGATGGCCGTGGAAATTCAGCCATTGGATTGTTACTAAGTGGTACAACTACAATGCCACCTACTTTCAAAGCTCGTTCAATAAAATTTGAGGACTGAGGGAAACCATAGGAAAATACAAAGTCAAAAGTCTTATTAGGAACAACATCTTGTCGTGTAGAATTTGAAAAAGAAATCAAATCTGGATTGTAATGTTTAACAATTTGAGAATTGTAAATAACTTCCTCATTGCCACAGGTAACAAGAAGAGATCTATCGCCCATTCTTAGTAGGCCTTCATTGGCCAAATCCCGAAATATTATAGGCAAAAACTCCAAATTCATTGGATCAAAAGTCATCCCATGAACTTTGAACAAAGCATTAGATTCGTAGCGCGATAAGTACCCGATTATCGTATTAATCCAGGGTAAAGAGACAATTACCAATGCTAAAATTGTTGCACGAACCATAAACTTCAAAACCCACGAATGGTCTAATCTTATAATAACCAATTTTGTTTCACCATGGTAGCCCAAACCATCTATGTATAAACCTCTCATTTTGTTATGTTGCTTGGTGTAAAAACTTGGCAACATATCATTCATGTTTTTGTACCTCATGCTTATACAAAGTGACAAGTAAAGAGAATTGAGCACGAATCACGAAAAATCTTGAAATTTTTTTGTTTAGAAAGCAGAAAAAAGGTTTCAGGTTGGAGAAAACACTCGGGAGAAGCTAAGGTTGAATAAAATTAAAGCTAAAGTAAAAAAGGAGAGATGGGTGAGCTACAATAATGGAGAGAATATGAATATTATTTTAGCGAGTGCAAAACCTGGCAGCTGTGTGATTTCCACCCACGAGGGCAACTCGAGTACTTTGCACTTTTGTCCACAATAACAACAAATCCTTTAACCTTTGAATTTCCATTTGTCAATATTAATACTCTCCTTCCTTCTGTAATTTCCAGATCGATGACTTCTATTTGGAATATTAACACTACTCCATGATCCAGTTTAGCGATACATTGGAAAAAACTTTGGTCATCGATCAGAAAAAAAAAGAAGGAAGGAGGAGGTTAAGAGCACAGACTATTGGATCTTTATGTTTATTCTATTTTTTGATTCTTTTTTCTTTTTTACTTTCTAATGCTATTATTTCTTTCTTTATAAGGATATAGAAACTAGTATAACATAAAGAGGGTCTGGATTCAAATTGATGATGATTGGCTATGCGAACATTTCTCTCTAAAGGAATGGTGAAATTTTTTCAATTTTGATGGGTGACTTTCACCCTTCAATCTTGACCAGAATCAACAAATTTTTAAGAGGTTTGGATTAGTACTTCATTCACCAACTCTTTACCTGCAAGATCTGTTATCATACATGAGAGACAATAAAATATCACGACATAAGCATTTTATTGAAGACATAATTAGGTCAATAAACGTTTGTTCTTTTTAGGCCCCATTCATAAAAACTTTTTTTTTTTTCTAAATGTGTTTGTTCATGATATTTTGTAAGTTTTTTAATTTTATTTTTGAAAATGAATTTTTCGAAAATCCACTTTTTCAAAACTACAACATGTCCAAATATAATTTCAAATTTCAAATATTATTTTTCAACTTAACTCCAGATTCCATATTTTTTCAAAAAATACAATTTTTATGTCCAAACGCCTACTTAATAGTTTAAGCTTTTGATAAGTAATAACCAAATATAAAATGTTTGCCTTCTATTTCTCTTGAGAATTTTAATAAATTGATTTAAGACATGGGATTTTCATAATATTTGAACAAATAAGATAGAAAAATAAAATAAATTACGAAGTGAAACATTTATAGTGTTTCAAACTTTTCGATACTCACATTAATTAGATGTAGAGCTGTCAATATGGGTTGATCTAGCCCAACTTAGCTCAGTCTATGCAGGTTTTGGCATTTATGGACTTGATTAGGCCCATTATTTTGATGGACCTTAAAATGGTCGGCCCAACCTAGCTCCATGTGGGTTACGGGCCTCATGAGTCCGGAAAACTATTTTTATTTTTTTTAATTTTAAGTTTTAACCTAAAATATTTTATTATTTTTATAAGTCAAAAAAGCATACTTGTTGGATAGAAGGTTTCTGCAAAAATTCATAACTTTTGACATTGATCCAATAGATTATAAAACACAAAAAAAAAGGACAATATTTTATTAATTAAAAGTCAATACTCAAATAGACTACTCAAAAATATTATCAAGGTGCTCATGGCATATCCAACACAAACAAATCATTTTCACCAAGCACTTTTAAATCCTCTTGTGAAACAAAGATGTATTAACATCTTTATTTTCATCTAAATCTGTAATTATATATAATTTTAAGTAGTTAAATATTAAAAAATAACTAAAAATTCAAGAACAAAAAATATTTGTATTCACATAAAAAATATTACTAGTTTGATATTGGACTATTCTTCTTGTTATTTTTAATTTTCTATATTTGTTTATATTTCTAATTAAATACATTATTAAGCCCATGGACCGACCCAAACCAGTCTTGGTCAAGCCTTATGGGTCACGGGCTTACTTGGGCCGGACTTAAAAGCCTCGTTTTTTAAATGAGCTCTAAACATCTAAGTTCAACCATATTACATCACAGGCTGGATTGGGCCAACCCAGCAGGGCAAGCTCATATTGACGACTCTAATTAGATGTATATATGGCAAAGAGTGTTGGGGCTCCTCCTAACTGTATTTTCAAATTTTAGAAAACATTACCCATTTTCTCAACTAGGTTTGTTCAGTGTGTTGGAAGTAATTAATATATGTGCCAAATTCAGAATCTAGACTCAGAATTTCACAATAAATGTCCCGACCCCATTTTTTCCTCTGTAAGACGTGATGGCACCTAGTTTCGACTAGGTAAGCCTAATATTTGACAACAATTAAACAAGTGTAAATAAGAAAAATAATCAACCTAGTTTGATGAACTCATATAACTACTAAAAAGCAAAATTTCAACCATACAATTCCCAAGAACTATGGAACAGAGTTATAAGCACTACGAAATAACTAAAACATCTGATACATCACAGTTGGTGAAAAAATACAACAGTAAATGAGAATAAGGGAAGGGAACTCTGAGACTTGCGGAGGCCGTGCAGGCATACCTTGAAGTCTCCGGTAAAAGCCGTGCAGACGTACCTGGATCTGCACTAAAAGATGTACAGAAGCATAGTATGAGTATACCATAACGGTACCCAACAAGTATCAAGTCTAACCTCAGTAGAGTAGTGACAAGGCCAGGTCAGGACACCTTTTAGAATATGAAATAGATAGTATAAATAAAACATAGATATAAAATGTAAAGTAAGAAAATAACTAATATAGAACAAGATAATAGCATGAAAAGAAACAGCTAAAGTGATACAAAGATCATGTACATACTACAATTACTAGAAGGATAACGAATGGAACAACAAAAAATATTCCTTCCACGACACTTTGCAACATGAAATAACAACAAGACTCACATTGAGGTACCGCCTCATGTATAATGAAATCAAACTGAGGTACCGCCTCGTATAATCAAGAACAACAACCGAGGTATCGCCTCGTATTCACATTTCTCAAATTCAATCATAATCCTTCTTTATGCCGTCGTGTGAGCCTTACATTTGAAAATAGGTTTGAAAATAATTTTTCCGAAATAGCTACATGCACTTTAGCCCACCTTATGACGCCGCGTGGCTTCACGTAATTCCACTACAAGCAACACACATATAAGTCTCACTTTGTACCGCCGCATGCACATCAACACAAGTCTTATACCGTCGCATGCACATCAAAATCATATCACAATAATAATATTGCACCACAAGTGCCCACATATCATAACTTATCAACAATAATATTATCAATATTTTCACAAAAATAGCCTATGGCTCCAATACAACGTACACGAGAATATTAATAATAATAATGGATGAAAATGCTCCAAAAGGATAGATGTTTCAACAATAACCAACATCGCCTCAACATGTTAACAACTTCCACAACCTCAACATCAAATACTCGACAATGGAGAAAACAACGTGTAACCACAATATTAGATAAGACTAACTCACAATAAAGGAAACAATCTTTAACAATGAGTATTAATTAACGAAAGTCAACAAATAAAGGGCAACATGAACAGTTAATTCAACAGTGATAATTAACAATGAATGGATAACATGTATCAATAAAGGGGTATCAAGTTCAACAAAAGCATGAGAGAAATTTAGCAAATAAGATGTAGAACAATTACTAAACAGTTCAACTAAAGCATTTAAGTATAGTCTAACACAATTAAGATGATTTAACTATGAGAATCTAGAACATAATATGACATTTTAATTAAAGCATGGAAATAGTCTAAGTAGCCTAAACCGGTCAACTATTATGTACAACCTGTATACTCATTCATCACCTTGCGTACATGGATTTCACTTAGCACAATTAAATCAACAATACAAATCCTTAGGGGTAGTTTCCGCATACGAAGTTAGGCAAAATATTTACCTCAAATAGGCCAATTAACAACTCAGAAATAGCTTTTTCCTTAAAGTTCACCTCCACACAGCTCAGATCCAACCAAAATCGACTCAATAACATCAAACAATGCTAGAAAAATCAATTGCAATAGATAAAGTTAAGATTTTTATACTTTTTCCAAAAAGTCAACTATATATGGTGAAATCGGGGGTACCAATTTTTCATTGATAAGGTACTTCAGGAGCTCGCCTCGGAGGCTCGAGACCATGGGCCGGGTACCTCCCTCAAGATCTATCGACAACCGGCCTGGGGATAATGTTGGCCGAGACCCCGACGGGCATGGGAGGCTTCCGAAGAATGCATCCGGGGCCGATTAAGTCTACTAGGCTAGTCTTACACTGGTCTACATCTACATCATGAAGCTAGTTAGCTCTCCCATCCCGCTTCCTTTATCATTTAATGTATCGTGTACTATGTTTGGATCCCCCCCCCTTATATAAGGGGGATCATTGGCACTTTGTAGGCGGGTTGCTCCAACTATTCTACACAAGATCAATAACAACTCTCTCTCTTTTCTCTCTAACTTACTCGCTCGAGACTACCACTTTCATTTATTGCTCTCGTACTTGTTCTTCATTTATTGCTTGATACTGGCTATAAAGAGCCTCCTTTAATTATATTCTAACTGTTAGTCCCTTCCTGGTTACCCCCGATAGCTCGAGCCCGAGCCCAGGCATCGACCTCGAGGCCTTTCATCGGTTAGCCCGAGGCCCGGACCGCTAACTCGTTGGTTTGATTGTAATGCTTTTTTAGCTCGCATTTCATCTTTTATCTTCACATATCTAGCATCAAATGCTCTAACAACTAGCATAAAAATATATCACGTATTTTTAGAGTCCCATCAACAAATTTAATTGTTATTACTATTTTTACAGTAAACAGTTTGGCGCCCACTGTGGGGCTAAACATAATAGTGATTATTTTCTTGTTGGTTACATTACACAACGCAAGTTATCTTTTACACTTTTTCTTGTCCATGATCTTCAATTTCAGGTCAAAATGTCTGGCTCGGTGAACAGAGTTGAGAACGACAACCTTGAAAACCACAGAGAAAATGTTGTGGCCATTCCAGTTATTGGCGCGCCACCACAGAACCCTGATAATGCACCTGGACCGATTCTAGCGGACGCGGGTTTGCAAGACGCACAACAGGTCGATGAAACCTCACACACCGATAGGAGCGTACGACATGGCGACCAACAAGAAGCCCAAAAGACCCCAGCTCGGGAAGAACATGAAATTAGTCTTCATGTTACTTTTGAAATGTTGTAGGCACAATAGCTAGCTATCGCTTAGCTTCAAAGCCACCCGAAGACTCCCAGCATAGTAGCACCGGAAACTATTCCCCTGGCCGAACAGGTACCAGAGAGATCGAGCAACAATGGATCGTTAGCCGACCCTGCAATAGTGAAAATGCTCGAGGACCTCACCAAAAGGATCGAATCGGGCGAGAAAATGATAGCAGACAACGATAAGAAGGTCGAGATCTACAACTCCAGGATCGACCAGATCCCGGGCGCGCCCCCGATCTTGAAAGGTGTGGATTCGAAGAAGTTCAAACAAAG